GGAAGTAGAATCATTATAACAACTAGAAATAGGCGCCTGCTTAAGAAGAAGGTTGATGATGATAAGATATACAAGGTTAAAGGATTAAATTGTGATGAAGCTCTTCAGCTCTTTCATTTGCATGCCTTCAAAAATAACTCTCCTAGAACCGATTATGCAGAGTTGTCAAAAATGGTGGTAGATTATGCTGAAGGCATTCCGTTAGCTCTTAAGATTTTTGGTTCCTCATTCCTTCACTGCAAGAGCAAAGAAGAATGGGAAAATGAATTGAAAAAATTGAAAAACTTTCCCAGCAAAAAAATTCAGAATGTGTTGAGACTAAGTTATGATGGATTAGAAAAAAATGAGAAGGAGATATTCCTTGATATAGCATGTTTTTATAAAGGAATGAATGTGGATTTTGTGAAAAGAATGTTAGACATTCGTGGTTTCTTTGTGGTGGGAATTGGAGTTCTCATTGATACATCTCTAATATCAATTTCAACAAGTTACTGCCTAGAGATGCATGATTTGGTACAAGAAATCGGTTGGGAAATTGTTCGCGAACAATGTATTGAGCCCGGAAAGCGTGATAGGTTGTTCATTGCTGAGGATGTCTGTCATGTACTCAAAAACAATACAGTAAGATCCAAATGCATTCGCTTTCTCTAAAAAAATTCTTATCATGAAAATTTCTATGGAAAGGTAGGAAATTTATGTCTACAGATGTAGTTTGAGTAAATTTTGTTGTGTATTGTATTATCATTCTCATTTATAGTTGCTCTTTTATTGTCAGGCAACTGCAATGGTTCAAGCCATATCCTTTAACACGTCTAACATTAGAGAGCTACACTTGAGTCGTGCAGCCTTCAAAAAGATGTACAATCTAAGATTGCTAGAAATTTATGATTCTAGCTATGGCCAGAAGTACTGCAAATTATACCTTTCTCAAGGTCTTCAGACTCTTCCTGAATCTCTTAGGTATCTTTACTGGGATGGATACCCTTTGAAATCTTTGCCATCAAAATTTTCTCCAGAAAATCTTGTTGAGCTCAAAATGCCCCGCAGCCTGGTTAAGCAACTTTGGGAAGAAGACTTGGTATATATGCTTATTGTACTTCTTGTATAAAATGTAGTTATTTAGGCCAAGTTACTAATTCTTGCAATTTCTCTTTAATTTGTTACAGATTTATCTCGGGAACTTAAAATTGATCGATCTTAGTTTCTGCAAACATCTGACAGAACTTCCAGATCTTTCTCAGAGTCGAAAAATGGAGCATATAAATCTTTATGGCTGTACAAGTTTGGTTTGAATTCCTTCATGTTTCCAGTATCTTGGCAATCTTACTTTTCTTGACCTGGGTTGCTGCTCAAATCTCAAATATCTCCAGGAGATGCCAGGCAATATTGAATTATTGAATTTAGAAAGCACTGCAATTGAGGAATTGCCTTCATCAGTTTGGTCTAACAAAAAAATTTCTTTCTTGAATATTCAACGCTGTAAATACCTTAAGAATCTTCCCAGCAGCAGTTGCAAGCTAAAATGCTTTGGTTTTCGTCTAGGGGGCTGCTCATCTCTCGGTAAGATTTCAGAACTTCCCAGGAATATAAGTGTATTAGATTTGACTTGGACAGCAATAGAAGTGGTGCCCTCATCAATCGAGTGTCTCTTTGGTCTCACTACAATTTACCTGAATGATTGCAAAAGGCTTGTGAGTCTGCCAACCAGCATTTTTAAGCTGAAATCTCTTAAGAGCCTTGATCTCAATGGTTGCTCTAACTTTGAATGCTTCCCCGACATCTTGGAGCCTACTGAACATCTGGAACTTCGTAATTTATCTAAAACAGCAGTTAAAGAGCTACCCTTGGAGATCGAAAATCTGATTGGGCTTCAAACATTAAATCTATGCCGGTGCAAGGACCTTGAGTTTGTCCCAGACAGCATCTACCATCTAAACTGTCTTAAAACTCTCAGTTTTTATGGCTGTCTGAAACTTAAAAGCCTGCCTCCGTTCTCGATCGGTTTGTGCTCTTTGGAAGAACTAGACCTCGGTTACTGCAATATATTACAAGTCCCGGATCCCCTTGTTTGTTTAATTTCATTAAGATCTTTAAATCTAAGTGGAACCATGATTCAGAGCTTACCTGCAAGCATCAAACAAGCTTCTCAGCTGCGTTACCTGTGGTTAACAAATTGCAAGGGACTTCCATTTTTACCTGAGCTCCCTGTGCTGCGTCATCTTGAAGCACATGGCTGCACGTCACTGAAGGTTTGGATGCATTTGATCATTTTTTTTTCTACAACTTGGCAAGGAATTAACTTATGTTTTCTAATATTGCATCAGAATGCTTGGAGGAATATGATGGGTGAAGCACAGCTTAGAATTATGCAAATGGCAACTGCATCATTAAACCCTACAGACGATGCATATTATGTATGTCTCTGTCTCTGTCTCTGTCTCTCTGTCTCCCTCTCTCTCTCCCTCTCTCTCTCTGTCTCTCTCTCTGTCTCTCTCTCATTAAGCCTTCAATAAGCACAACTTCCATCCACGGTACAGGGTTATGGTCCTGCAAGTCCTTCAGTTAGCATTGTTTGTCCAGGAAATGAAATTCCAAATTGGTTCAGCTATCAAAACGAGGGATCTTCAATAAATATCACCCTTCCTCCAAATTGGTTTCGTACAGATTTCTTGGGTTTAGCTCTATCCCTTGTCGTTGAATTCAACAACTATTATGTTAAACGGGCGGGTTTGAAGTTTGCATGTACAGCCAATTTCAAATCCAGTAACGGTGAAGGCCATGAAATCAGGTGTCATTTGCATCGTCTATATAAGGATATAAGCAGCTCTGGACGGAACAATTTCAATTCAGATTATGTGTTTGCATGGTATACTGCGTCCATGCTTGTAGCTGCAGCAAAATACTCCAGTGGCACTGGTTTTTACAATGTCACTGAGGCTTCTATTGATTTCTTCCTGATGGATTTAAACGGGTTTCCCCTTAAGGATTACAAAGTTCAGGTGAAGAAGTGTGGGTTATGGTTGTTGTACGCCAAAGATGCTGAGAATGTGATGTCATGCTGAGAAATTTTCTGCTCGAACTTGGAACAAGAAGATGAACTACTTCCTCAGCTCTAAGCGAGAGTTAGTGCTGTAGCTGAGGATGCTTTTGGGTTTGTCAAGCCTGGGGATGCCCTAGTATCAGTGCTGGTACAATACAGAATGAGGCTAAGGCGAAATTCACAGATGAGAACCTTGCCTTTTGATATGCAAAATTGCTGATAAATCATAAATGTATGTAAATTGCTGATAAATGTTTGTATTCACTCGCCTACAGAATGATTAATATTTGATTCTTTGGAGGTAATCCACATAACAAATGAACCAGGGAACCAGTTACAACGCAACTTAAGAGCTCCAAGGAGCTGAGCCAACAAAAAGGACAATACATCAAAAGAAAAAAACAACAAAGCTACTCGATGACCACACAGCATGACAGAATCAAACCAAGCTCGACCAACCAGAAAAATAAGGGGCTTTATGGTGTGATTAATTGCAAGTAGATAATATCGCTTAAATTAATATAGTTGTAATGGATCGAGTTAATCTATTAGAGTGATTTATTCTTAATTATATTTGAATTAAACAATAAGAGGAATACGATGACAAAAATATAATTAAGGAAGTAGACTAAGAATAAGTAAATAATGTAATAGACGAAAATAAACATGATAAAGCATTAGGACATCGATCACCTAGCTAATCCCACTCAGATCCTTCTAGCTTGTTAACCTAATTGACCTAACATGTTGGTAGTCATTTTTCCTTAAAATATGGTGCCTCCCCTGAAGGAAACATGTGTATAAATATTTGGCCAACTTCTTCCTCGTTGGTACGACAGTTGCCCCGTTCATCTAGTACACTACAAACGACATTAAGACGAGAACGATATTTCACTTGCTCATGAAACCCTGGAACGCTGTGGCCAAAAAATTAGTTACAATTAGGGGACCAAAATAAACACTATTTATTTCCAATTGATAGACACTTTAGGACAACATAAAAATTTAATTTCTAAAATAAAATGAATTAGATATTTGGATTGAGTCTGCAAATACTGTAAAAATATTTTATGATGTTAAGAATTTAGAGTTCCTTCGAGAAACCTCTGTGCAATGTTTTTCTGGTTAAAAAATAAAAAATAAAAAACAATCTACTGGTTAGTAAAAATAAAAAATATCCACACAGAAAAAATGATGATGACAACGAAGGCGGAAGAGGAATCACTTTCAGCACTTTCTTCGTTTTTGTCTTATGTCTTGTGATGATTGTGCTGGCGGCCTTGCCCTTACCCACGCCACGCATATTCTTTTCTTTCAATATTTGATATGGACATTTCATCTCACTAGAATATGAATATCCTTTTGACAAAAAGAGAAAGAAAAAAAAACCCAAATTCAACTGAATTGGACACTCAAAATTCCTACTCCAAGTTTCTGTGAACTCTCTCTTCTTCTCATTCGTTTCCCTTTTATTTTCCACTTTGCTTTCCATTTTCCATTTCTGTAACAAACAAGAATTACAAAGCAGATAGAAATATGGCTGTCTCAGCCTTCAAATCGTCAAGCAAAAGGAGCAATGCCACCACCAATTCCTCAGCATCAACAACCTCATCTGTTGGCAGACAGCAAATGGCAGACAAAGATAATAACAACCCAGCAAAGAAAGCCCCGCTCAGAAGGTCAAGAAGCGTCAGCGCTTTCTCAAGGACCAGCCTTGACGTCTCTGCTGAAAGCTTCTTGAACAAGAGAGACAACCCTCTCTTCTGGTCAACGGACGCCCAAGCCGTTGACCCCCAAAAGCTAGTCAAACCCACCAAGCTTGACGCTGCAACATCGAAAGATTCGAGACCGGCGACCTCCGCTGGTGCTGATTCTAGAAGGGGCCGCTCCGGGTTGCGGAATTCCGATGCTTTGGGGACGAGGAAGGAGCCGGGTCGGGCATCGTGATGCTGGGGGGGCGATGGGGGAGGCGGGTCGAAGCTTGTCGCGGTTCGCCCCGAGCCGTCGGAACCGCTCCATTTCCCGCGGTCCGGATTCCAGGAGGCATTTCGTCAATTCTAAGGTTTGGTGTTGTGTTGCTTTCAATTCAAATCAGAATATTTCAGATTGGATTTTTGGGTTAATATTGTCGAGGAAGAGAAAAGGAAGATGAATTTGAGTTTGTTGTGTGTATAGAGTGACGATGAACAAGTATGGGGTTCGTTGAATAAATTGGGCAGTGATGGGAAAAAGGGTGCTTTAGTTAGAAGCAGTTCTGATGAGTTGGATGAGTTGAAAGGTCTGCGTACGTGGTCCAGCCAGCATTCACAAGATTCTGATGCAAATTTGGTAAAAACTAAGCTGACCCATGATCTGATTTTGTATGATATGACTAGTAGTGTTTATATTAGCATCTTGCTTGATGATTTTTCCTTCTGTTGTTCATGTTTCTCTTTCAGTCTTGTTTGCAATCTACAAATTGGGAAGATGGAGTTTCAGTCGCAGGTTCTTTATCTGGAGCAGAAGAGAAAGCTGTTAAAGCAGTGTGTGAACGGATGAATATGGATCTTGGGCATTCTCATTTGGTCTGTATGACTTCGTGTCAGAAGCTTGCCTCTTATTTATTTATTTTTTTGGTGACTGCTCATCGCTAGTTCAGATATCAGTTGGAATGCTACTTTGGTGACTGCTTATTTGTTTTTTTTTTTTTGGTGACTGCTCATCGCTAGTTCAGATCTTATTTATTTATTTATATACTTTTCGAGATAAGTAGTTGGTTATGATAATAAATAAAATTCCCTGCTAATTTGCAGTCAGTTCAAGGGAAACATTTGGAAGATGATAACCCGAGTACTAGTATATATGAAACAGTTCGATCTGAAGTGAGACGTGCTATCTCTGAGATTCAAAATGACCTTGAAAGTGTAAGTGCTTATGGATTTATTTATTTATTTATGCTTACAATTAAAGAAGAAATTAGCAGCAGGTTGTTGGTTGTTGGCATTATATTACTTACTAACGAAAGGATTCTTTAGGACTCTTATATTGAATACCCATACCTAATCTTTTGGTATTAGTCCTACCTCTAGTAAGAATGCTTGCTAGCTGAACTGCGTTTGTCTTTTCAACTTCATTAGGATGAATTAAATTACTAGGAGTTGTGGGACTTAAAGAAAAGAACACTTTTTAAAAGTGTTGCAAATGTTTTTGTAGTACAGTATCTCTGGTAAGTACGCATGCTCAGAGAAGAAGTTAGGAATTTGTTCTACTACTAATTTGAGTATATGTTTGTGCAAATAATAGATTACGTGGCCTCTTAATTAAAGTTTGCATTGTGTATGAGAACGCTAGAATGTTAAGCAGAATTAGAAGTTTATACTACAATCATTCTGATATACTGACCATCAAGTAATACATTAAAATAAAGGTAGTTAAGAATTTAGGTTAGATGATAGGGAGTGATGCATAACTATAAAGCTTCGTTTACCTTGGCAGTCATTTTAGGAATGAATACAGTACAAATCACCATTTGATGAAAGTGACTAATAAAATAGGGGCATAGCAAGGGCCTTTTTCTTTGCTCTAACTGTTAAGTAAGCCCTTATAGATTTTGGTTGAGTTATTTTCTTTCCACAACAAAAAAAGAAAAAAGTATAGATTTATTGATTCTGAGTGTAGGTATGTACAAGCTTATGAGTAGAATGTGAATTATCTTGGACTACAGAAAGACTTGTTAGATATGTTTCAAGGAATTGCTACTAGTGACAATAATGTGTAATCCAACTCCACTCAAGGCTTCACAAGTGGAAATAAATTCAAGGCTGCATTTACTGCCTAACAAATTTTTGAGCAGTTGGTAAGGAACTTGACATAAATCTACTCTCTCACCTTAAGTAAAATGGATTGGTCCTTAACATATCAAATAGTTCTTATAAGAGAGACCTATGAACCTGTTGTCTCTTGAATGGACAGATCACCTCCAGATGTTGGATTAGTTGGTGGAGGCTTGATCTTTGGATTTTAGCATTTGTGGAATATGGGTTGTGGCATTACCAATATTACAAAGTGACCACTACATGACAGCCACTTTATTCAGTTGACTTGTAATTTAAAGATTTTGTTTATTTAGTTAAGTGTACCAAGAAGAATGTAACATACGTACATAGGTTGTTTAGTTTCTGTAACCCTTATTAAATTAGTTCTCTTGCTTGTGCTCCCTTGCTTTTATTTTGATTAATGGTGACAATGCTTCAGTTCTGACATATATATGTTCTTTGCTTATGTGCTTGCAAAGTGGAGTCACTGCTATTTGATAATATGCTCTTTCGTTCTTACAAGCTCAGGCTATGCGAAGGAGTAATACTCCAGCACTTGCAACTACCGACATTGCCGATATCCCTCCTGACCTGGTAAATCCAAGTGCAGTTGAATTAGTTTTGGACATCAGAAGAGAATATGCCAAAAAGCTTGAGCAGGTAAATTTCCACTTCTCTAACCATTCTTGTGTGAGGTTGGCCAGAGTTTTGTCAGTTGAGCAGTCGGATGTGGCTTAATTGACAATGCTATTGTTGTGGAACTTACTAGATGTTAGCATTTGAGCAGATGAAGATGCATGCATTGATTAACTAATATGAATAATTGCAAATACTTGCTTCTAGGTTAGAGTAAACAGACAGGAGAATGTGTCTCATCTGGGACTCAATTGGCTTCTTGTTATGGTATTGGTTAATGCAGATTGTCCTTTCATTGTTGGATGGAGTATGCAATTTGGGTGGAAGTACTTGTGGAGGCCATTTATTTTATACAAATTTATAAATAAACCCAATCCTAGACATGTATTTATAAAAAAATCCAAGCACTATTTAAACATAGAAACACACCCAAAATCAACCCCAAAGTCAACTTTTTGGGTGTGTTTATAAATGAGTTTTGAGTGTGTGTAATGATGGGTTTTGGGTGTGTTTATATGTTTAAATAGTGCTTGGGTTTTTTTATAATTTCAACCCCCATTTTGGGTGTTTTAGTGAAACTCCCTTTATTTTATTGTGATGATTATTGATGTCTTTAAGAAAGAGTAGAAGTTACTTTTATGGTAAATCCCGTCATCCTCATATTGCTACTGTGTGGGTTGAAAACTTTAAAGTGGTTGCTTCATGAAACGATGTTAAGGGTGTAAACATATTTACCGTGTTTTGACAGGACTTTGGGTGATGGTATTTTTCGTTAATTGCAGTGACATATATATTCAGCTTGATCTGAAAGTTTTTCTTTTATTTATTTATTATTTTTTCTGTTGGCATGATATAAAAGAGAGGTTGATCCCCTTTGTGCTACTCTCAGCTGTGACATAAAGGAAACATTTTTATTCTAGGCATGCTACATGGACTTCTGTGACACTTCAAATCCTATAAGCCTTTTCTTTTCTGTTACTTTTCTCCTTTTTGTTTATGTTTTATGTGGGGAACATAACACCACTAAGTAGACCCTTGCCTTAAACTTGCAGTCTCGGGAACGCTCTAGAAAACTTCAATCGGACCTGGCTGTTGAGGAGCACCGTGGACAAGAGCTCAGCAGGATCCTGAAGGAAGTGCTTCCAGATCCCAAGACCTCTAATGTGCCAAAATCACGTCCAGGAAGAAAAGTAGGATATTCAATTTTTTATTTCTTCCCCTACCTTCTCTCTTAGTATTTAGTCAAGTTCCATGCAATATGCTTGTATTTGTTCCTTGGAACATGACAAGCATGTTTTATTTTCTTGTGTTTATATATTGTTGGTTCTTGGATGCAGATGCTAAATAGTTTCATTTTTCAGAACATGAAGTGAGTGTGTATGGATCTTCATCTCATTTTTACTCTCTTAGTAAAACTACACATCATGCTTAAAATAACATTCTGTAAAAGCATTAAGCGTCTAGGATTTGTCATTTAAATTGTTTGTTTAAGCCTTTGAAAAAATGCATCTGTTTGTGCACAAATGGTCAATATAACTAAAATGGAATGTTTTTCACCTGTTATATTTTTGTGTATGGATAAATTTGAATCTCTGTGATGATAATTGGAGAACATAGGTTTGCATCCCATACACAGTTGAAAATTTCCTTACAGCTAGCATCTAGGTAAGAGTTTCACAGGTTGTTTGTTCTCTTTCCTTCATGTTCTTTTATTAATTTATGGTTACAGGCTAGCATTGAAAGAAGGAAGATGTCAAAACGTCTAACAGAAGAAGCCATGTCTTATTTTGATGAGTGTGTATCCCTATCAACTTTTGATAGTTCTGACTTCTCATCGCCAGAGGACCCACCACTCAACTTAGTTGGCTTTACTACCCCTGTTGGTAAAAGCACATCTTTACTCCAAGCAAGTTCAACTGCTGCAGTCACCAATAACTCAAACTCTTGCCACAATGATAAACAGGTCCATGTTATTCCTTGCTGCTAATTAATTTTTTTCCTATTTTATATGCCTTTTTCCCCTGAATTTGTCAAATTATAAGCATGTAAATTCATGCAAAATCTTATATGATATCTGAACAGAATCATCTAGTTTCTGAAACAATAATGTTCATTCTTTCAGGGATTAAGCATTGAAAATCAGTATACCGATGATCGTCATGCTTCAGGACTGATGGCGAGCAGTGGTCCTAGGGAGCCACAGATTAGTCCTAACAGTGCCAACATGCCCCAGGACTGGAAGTTCTCATTTGCTCATAAGCCAACAGAAACCCTTGAGCTTCAACCGGACATTATGAAGTACGCCAGACATTTTGAGAAAGGAATTGAGAAAGATGACTCGGAATTGCAGACTGTAAGATCAAACTATTATGATTTGGGTGAGTACAATTTGCAGGCTGCAGCACAAAGCTATATGTTCGATAGGGTATTGTATAGAAATAGAATAGAGTCGGGTGGTATTTTACTCTGTGGCAATGGTATTTCAGGTCCTTTTTCACATTTTGCTTCTTTTTTCTGATAATGTGGTTGAGGAATGCGATAAATAGAACTATGTCTCCAGAGTGAGGTTAGGAGTAATTTTTTAATTTATTTTATATATATATGGAAAAGTGAGTAATCTTTTGTTAGCATGGAAGCCTTGGGAAGAATGAGGGCGAGAGTCGAACTCTTACCATGAATTAGTGTAATTTTTATGAATGAGAGTAATTTTTATGAACGGGTGTAATTTTGGTCCCTAGCTGATTTCCTGTGTTGATCGTTAATTGAGCCAAAAATGGTTTAAGTGGTGTGTGGTTGTGCACATCATACCTTGCTTATGGTATTATTGCCTTTGCTTTTCCTTAGAAAAACCTCAATAAAGAACAAAGCCTCTT